TGCACTTTCACTTTGATGTATGCGGTTACTCCCTACATTATTTACAGGCCTTAATCTACGGACATCATTCCTACTAATTACTTGTCCTCCTTCCTCCTCTGACTGTCCTTGAGCAGCCGGTGTTGTCTTGGCAGCTTGGAAGTGATTGACCTGATTTTCCTTGCCTTTCCGCCTGATTCTCTCCTGCCACTTCTTGCGAAAAGCCGCCCTCTCTAATTAAGGGGGTGGAATCTTTCTTTACAAAAACTGACTTGTAATCAGCGGATTCACCAAGCTTTCTCGCTGTTTTCAGCACGCTCCAGACCTGAGCAGAATCCTTTACAGTCACCAGCAGAGGTCTGAAGATGTTGCCATTAGTATCCTTCGAGCGTAGCCTCTTGCAAGATATAACATCAATCGATGTGTTGAGTACCTTGCTGCAACAGTCTAAGTTGAGTACCTTGCAACAGTCTAAATACTAAGTTTCGTTCAAATCTGTTCAGTAGTTTAGAAAAAGTTTCGTGATTACTGCGAATTTAAAGACGAATTGCTGTTTAAATCACGAATGAAGGTGAATTGAAAAAAAAAACTCGCGAACGAAGGCGCAATCGAAAAAATTTTCACGAGCTAAGCATTACCGTTCGGTAGTTAGGACTTTGAATTCAAAATTTCGTTCGAATCTGTTCAGTAGTTTGGAATAAATTCTTGATCACTGAATTTCGGCCCGTATTGCCATATAACTATGGCAAAAATAAACGATGGCAAAATTCAAACAATTTTCACGAGCAAAACATTATCGTTAGATCCGAACGAATACGTGTACCAAGTTTCATCGAGTTAAGTTCATTAGTTTGAGAGATATTCCTTGATCATTGAATTTGGAAATTGGCCGCGAGTCCGGCCGGTAATTCGTCCGAGACGTAAACCAGGAGAGGTTAAAAAAATATAACTTAGTACTCACTGCGATGAGTGACAGAGATGCGCATTTTCTCGTCGACGAAAACTTGAGGTCACGGACAGACTGACGGCCAGACAGACAGACGGACATGGCGAGCACAATAGTGCATTTTTTCCATGTATGAGAAAATGCGCTAAAAACAGATCTGGGCGAATAAAACCATCGCTTGGAGCCATGTGCTGCACGTGTAGTGAACAAATCGTCAAACAAACGTTGGAACTTTTGACATTGACTTCAGACTACCGCCCCCTTATCGCCCCCTACCGCCCCTCCAAACGCCCTCTTCTTCCTCCCCCAAAATCTTTCCACCGCCCCTAGGGGGCGATATCGCCCACTTTGGGAACCACTGTTCTAGATCTTATTTACTTCGCCGATATCTAGCTTGACGATAATTAGCCAAATTGAACACTTATATTTTTTCCCTCTGTTTGGAAAATTTTGACTATTTTATTTTCCTGTGTTTGATTACATTGTCACTTTTTCCTTTTTTTATCACAGTGTCGCATTTCTCCCCCTTCGCTCAACATAAGCAAGCCAAGGAACCTCTGGTCATCTTACTTTTGCTTATTTACGTACATGCTTGCATATTGCATTTATCTAACATTTCGGGGTTGATCACTTGTTGCGGCTAAGCAGATAGCTTTTGGTCCGAATAACGGACTCCAGTACCTTAGTTGAAATTTTATTTCGTTGCTTGTTTTTCCCTTTTTCACATAGGTGACTTGTGAAAACATTCGCTCCACGAATGCATTGGAGACTGGTAGAAGTAGGCAAACGATGCAGCAGGCAGCCAGTTCTATGAATGGAAGATAATTTTCAAGATCAGTGAAATAGGGTCGCCTGCCGAAGACCACCATTGCCCTGGATGTAATGGACCGTCATGATTCCTGCCTTCCGGAACGTAGCCTTCAACACTTCAAGCCGTCCGTATCTAGGCCGTGGGTCGAACCTGCCCTCGGTCGAACGGCCACTTGTCGAAGGACGATAAATTTTGGAACAGAACTATGCTATCTGAAACCCAACCTCAGATGCGGTGAACGTAATATTACGTAATTTAACGATGCCCGGAAGTCATATTCGATCTGCGGCCTGGTGGTGCATGGCAGGTTCTTTGCGAGGCCGGAGGAAGATAAAGCCTAGTGGTTCACGGCTGAGTGGTGGATGTCCGGAGATATCCAAGGAGTTCGATTCAGGGCTTATTGGTGCACAAAATGGGTGGTGCACGGCTGCACTCCCGTGAAATATTGAATGGCACCCCAGAATTCAAGTGTCACTCCAATATGTTATAAGCGGCACACTAGAATTCAAAACCACCAAACAAAAATGGTGGAGCTTGCGTCGCAGAGATCGGTTGGACAACCACACACGTCCTAGGCCATATCATCACTGATCAGTAATCAATCAAGGATCATCACTCTCGTGCTTATATTTCACTAATCACTTTTGTCGAATGGTAACAATTAGATTGGGGTTATTTCATCAAGCGGTAAACTTGCGGGTGCAAAAATGGCGGGAAACCTCTAGTCGCGCCGCTCCGAAGGGGGAGCGCAGCCGTGCACAACAAATTTTGTGCGCCAATAAGCCCTGAATCGAACGCCTTGGATTTCTCTGGACATCCACCAATCAGCCGTGAACCACTCGGCTTTGTCCTCCGCCGGCCTTGCATAGAACCTGCCGTGCACCACCAGGCCGCGGATCGAATATGACTTCCGGGCATCGTTAAATTACGTAATTTTACGTTCACCGCCTCTGAGGTTAGGTTTCAGATAGCATAGATCTGTTCCAAAATTGATCGTCCTTCGACGAGTGGCCGTTCGAACGAGGGCTGGTTCGACGCTCGGCCTAGATATGATTGTCCAGAAGTGTTGAAGGCTACATTCCGGAAGGCAGGAATCATGATGGTCGATTACATCCAGGGCAGTGGTGGTCTTCGGCAGGCAACCCCTCTGAAGGTAATGAGTGGTAATCTATACAATCCACGCCTACGCTGGAGGAAGTTCAAACTTCTGAGGTGGAACTTAATGCAGTAAATTTGCAATAAGCCAGAAAAATACCAGATTTAGGCAAATATGCCGAAATACCAGATCTAAAATTTTCATACCAGATACCTTCTGAAAAGACCAGATTTGCGAAATTTGGTATAGAAATATACCATCTGGCAACGCTGACTGGCACCAGTTCTCGTCTTAAAAATTCTGTAAAATAATCTAAATTATCGATTTCATCTGATAGAACAGCGTAATTCCACAACACATCTAATTACAAATATCAAGCAGAATCTGGGGTTAGGTGTCACATCGTAAATATAGGTTCCAAGATTCATCGTCATTTTTGATGAGGGATATTTCGATCGGGGCTGATTAGATGCAGATGATATTTTTAATAACTGTTTTAGCGTTTATTAGGACGTAGGCCTGTCGCCGATTCTTAACATCGCAGAACGTTCACAGCTTGATTTGGTCTCGAACACACAACTCACTGCGGGCTGCGCCCATTCTGCTGTGCTAAACTGCCCGGCCTACTCGCCAATTCTGAACAGAAACAGGTGCACAGAGCTGGGATCGAACTCGCACCTCTCTGCTACAACCTTGGTTCTCATAAACTTAAAACCACTTGGCCACCCTGATGAGTTCTGTTGGTGTGGAGAATGCCTGCCAGTAATTTCTTGCGGCCCACTAGGGAACCACTGTACTGTAATTCTTAGAAACTATTCTTTCCTAAATGGCTTGGGCCTGCTAAACTGATCTAACAGAATTACTGGAGAAAGCTATGTTATTGGAGAAAATGATTATGCTAGTCCGGGCGATGTTTTGTCTTAGATAGGCAAACTTATAATTTATGTTCTCTGACCATCATCTAAAAAGAAAGTGGAAAGGGAACCATATTGGAGAATGGAACCTCCCGAACCCAACCCCAAAAACGCACTGTTTGCTGAAACTAGTAATGGGATCAATCGAAATCACTATTTTTCATTTGAATATCTATAAAATAAATTTTTTTGCAGTTTTTTGGGGCGAGCACGTAGGACCTCTTGGACACTTTTACGGCCGGTCTCCAAGTTTCAGTGAGCCTAAAATATCTTCCTAACTAGTGAACGTAAAGCGGTAAGTTGTTTCAGCACCGCTATAAGATAAGATAAACGCGAAGAGGGATTTAGACCAGAATTAAGCGAGAGATACGAGTGTTAGGAAAGTGTATTCAATTGTAGGTATCAGTAGGTTGCATCTGTTGAATGAATGAAATACAATACAAATTAGGATGAAGTCGATATTAGGTGCAATTAATAAACAAGGAAATATTGCAAGTTTGAGGAACAAATTAGCAGCTATTTAAGGACATACCCCAAACGTTGGAGGACAAGGCTGCAGTGAGGTTACAATTAACTCGACTAACTAACCTAATTAATTTTAATTTTAACCAGGTTTTAACCAGGTTTAACATTGGAGGCCTCTACAGACGTATCTGAATGAAACTTGACAGACGTGTTGGTGATGTTTGAGTGGTGAATTTTTTAGCGAATTTTCTCATTTATTGAAAAAAATGCCCTATTGTGCTCGTTTGTCCGTCTGTCTGACCGTCCGTCTGTCCGTGACTTCACGTTTCCGTCGACGAGAAAATGCGCTCTCTGTCACGCACTGCAGTGAGTGCTGAGTTATATTTTTTCGATTTTGCCTTCGTTTACGAGTTATGCGGCCATACGGTTCAAAATTCGCAGTGAGCCCAATATACCTTATATTCTACTGTTCAAATCTGGACGAAACTTTTAATATACTACCCTAACGACCTAAAATGATGTGCAGGCCTATTGAAATATAAAACGGAAAAATATTGAAAAAAATATATTGAAAATATAAAACGGAAAAACAAGGTATCCGACTGCTGCTTGTGCTCTGCCACAAAGCAAACAGTTATAATTTAATTCCAGAACAGGAAGAGCAATTCATGGTTGAAGTAATTGATGTCCCAGCTGGCGAGTTGCGTTCTGGTTCGCCTTTATAGAAGCTGAATTTGGCGTCTCTCAACACCGCTGCTTGCAGTTGCAGACTTGCAGCGGCTGCGTCAGTCATTGCTGGGCTGTTGTGGTTGTAGGTTGCGTGCCTGGATAATCTCCTTGTGCTACTCCTGCAGGATGTGAGTACAGTTTCTACATTCGATATTGATGGCTTACTTTGGACTCTTCACATATCATAAGAATTCAAACCATCTGCGCACTGCCATGTGCAGTGCCTGTTCCATTTCCAGGTGTCCTTTTTTGTTTTATTTTCATTGTGTATATTACATCTTGAAGGCTGCAACAGCAATGAATATGATTAAGCAAATATTTTGGGTCATAATTGACAATAGTTTCCATTTGAAAAGTTCACTGTAGGGCATTTTTTCGCCAGCTTGCTTGTTAACGCAAACACATGAATAATATTAGTATTATTATTATTCTGCGAAGCATTTATCGTTTCGACTTTCGTCTGGTTCAAACGAACTTCGAGGGCACGTCACACATAAGATTAATAGCAAACGAAGATAAATAGACTCAAGAAAGGATGGGAACGGTAAAATAACTAAGCGCTAGATTCATAGGATCTACGAAATAGTTTCATCTTTAGGCGTGAAATTTCAAGAACAGGAGCAATTGAATGTGAACAAACTGCAATATTGCGCCCTTACCGTTTGTGCTTTCGAGCCTCCTGCGGGAAAATGAACTGGGATAAGGTTTATGGGATTAGTTAACTTATGAATCGCCTTCATGAATAGGGACAATATTTTAACAAAATTAACAAATAAAAATATCTAGCATTAAAACTCTGCAACAGCTGTTGGGTCGTATACCGTGTTGACATCTTAAGGTGCAATCCAAGTGTGAGTGACCGCAAGAGCTTTCCTTGGCGAAGAGAAAATGACGCGGAACGAATTTTGTCTATTGGTCAATTTGTACTTATATTATTTTCAGATAAGTTTTCATAGGGAAAACACAGATTTTTGTCTAGTCCTTAATATACCAAGAGGTTCCTGCCTAGACCCCAGAGTGTCGTTTTTGGCGATCCTGTCAAAACGGTTTGAACTAATTGTTTCTTGGAATCAATCTTGTTATGAAAGGATGCAGTCGTATTTGTTTGAATGATTTTGTCTAAAAATGCCACTTTCCTATTTAACTATAAATGAAATGTATGAGGGTAGAAAATTGCTTGCTTATCACTAAAATTTTATTTCATGAGCCCTGAAGCCCATATGACTAATCTGACTTAAATTCCTCCAAATAAATTGGCAAAAATAATGGGGTCCCTACAGGACCCCCTTGCTAAGCTACGTTGTGAAATAACCTTGGTAGGTTAAGGGCTAGCAAGTGTTTCTTATGCTACATAATGAAAAAATTTTTTAAGCACGAATTTTTAGGCTACAAAATAGAGGATCTTAAGCAAATTAAAGTCAGATACAATTTAATATGAATATTTTACGGGAAAGAGAATAGTCGGAATCCCATTTGCTATTAAAGTAAACTATCTTGCAAGCTTCTCAAGATTCTTATAGAGATGCTGAAGCAAACTTGTGCTTCCAAGACCTAGTCCATTTCTTCGCATTGATCCCACAGTAATTTGTACTGTGTTTTTCCTGAATGTTTTGTGTTGGTCTTAAATCTGAATCAAAGTGCTTGTAAACCTACAACGAAAGGAACAGTTGACAGTTGACCTTTTTTTGTGAGAAATGACTCTTGCGCAACAGCAGAGAGTGAGTGCGATACGAACATTTTTTCGCCGGTTTTCTATTCATGAAAAGTTTAAATTCTATAGATGTTCCACCAATATATGATAATATCTGCATTTATTGTAGTGTTTTACTTTTGTATAAATGCATGAAATATTGGATTACACGCTAGAAAACTAAGCCAAATTCTAGCTTATTTCACTCGTCCTAGGTTTTGAAAACGATGTTAAATCCCTGAAAGACTAACTGTAGCGACAGACTGCATGATTTTAAGGTTGGTTCTAGGCAAAATAGTAGGATTGAAATTATTTTTATTAGGCTTTGTGGCTTAGGCACGAGTTTAATGATCTGTATGTGTTAAACAGGAGCTACTGCATTTTCAAAATATCAATGCATTGCACACAAGTTGCTCGTGTCGAATGCTAAAATGTTCAAAGCAAAAAAGGAAACTATATTTTGTGTATAAATTGGAAACGTTTACAATTCCTCGCTACATTTCTGCATAAATGAAATAAAGACTGAATGATTTTCATTCCAAAATATAATAATCAGTAAAGAGAGGTATGAACGGTATTATCGCGATAAAAAAATTCATGTTGTAATACTGCCATGTTAAGCAATACGAAGCATTAGTGGAAAACAACTTGCTATATGTACACGGCGTCCTGCTAATGTATTGGACGTCAGACTCTTCAAACCTTAAACTGGCTATTTATTACAAATCTCATATTAAACGCCGTCCACATGTTTCTGAACTCTTAAAATTCTCCAATAACTTCCATAATTTGCTATTGAAATTACTATTTACCGGCCAAATTACAATCTCTTCGTTCGTTTTCGTGCAAGAGAAATTTACGTGCAGCCTTTCTGTTCCTCTTTATCGAAGGCAAGCAAGTTTTTGCTGCAGTCAACTCATTTTACGCAACGTCGATATTTTCCACGTTCCTTGCAGAAAGTCCCGTTTTATAGTAAACTCGTTACTTTTTCCCAAAAATAGCATTTATCTTTGTACGTGCCTAGAACTCTCGGGATCAAGAATGCCTTTTAATTTTATGCGACACCGTAAACCGTGGCATAAACATTACACGTCTCTCGGGGGACATACGTCGCGGTCTTTTTTATGTCACGACTTATGTTCGTGTCGGCATTAACGCTGAAAGTGAAAGACCGCAATAAAGGCTGCGTTCACACCACAGCAACTACAGCTAATGAACTTACAAACAAATTCTTTCAATTTAGCCGAAAAACAAAATAATTGCCCTGTTGTTAATATCACGACTCGATTATTCACGTGTTGAACGGACATCTCATCAATTCATTTATTAAGAGAATATTTTACGCATCAGCCCTATTAGGTCATTCGCGAAAAGGGTTTTGAAGATGAATTCGTGATCATCATTTGTATCATGCCAAGTATTGCAGCGTTTTCCTGCAATGCATAGCTTTGTACATAATTATTTGTTAGCCGAAACATCGCAAATAACTTGCTTAGCAATGTAATATAAGCTGTCGATTTCTTCTGACGTTTTTATGGTGACAGAAATTTTAGATGCATTAATTAGATGTGCTTAAGTTTGCATCAAGCATCCCTTAACTCATACTTTGAGCACAATTAGAATATTCAATGGCCGACTCGTAACACTGACTTGAGGCCATAGTTTCTGTAAGCTGTTTCTCAGTTTTTGGATGTAATATAAAGAGAAACCTGAACGTAACGTTGTAGTGTTGAAAAACAGTTAAGGAAATAATTATTTTGGAATCAAATAGTGGGAATTTTTTTTAGAAATTTCCAACATGTGGCCCGTAATGAGTGTTCGTGCTCTGTCATACGCCGGACGAGGCGAAGCGTGAAGGAGCGAGGCTTGCATTGCAGCGTCTCGCGTTCGCTACTAGCGTGTCCTGAGCGCGGCGTCTTTGTGTCGCAACAGAGAGGAGTTCTTCCTTTTCTTCCTAACCGAGGGTCTCTTGTTATTGCTGGAGTCTTGCACATGGCACAGGCTTGAGAAATATCTGCTCCAGTGAGGCAGAAGACTACAAGAACTCAGCATCCCTACGCTGCAGCAGCTCCCTCGTCTTGTGCAACGCGAAGCCTGTGTTCCGTGGTTGTGAAACTTGTCGTCAGCGCATCGTCAGTTAGATCACTTGGTCGTTTCCTGCCATGAATTTGGGACGCTATAAGTGAGAACTGTAACTAAGAGGTTCATTATACAGAATTATTTTCTCGCTTGTCGTCCCGGTTGATGTATTTGGAAATTAAGTGCTGAGACGGTCATGAGTCGCCGTGGTTGGTGAAATTACTAAGCAAGAGGTTCCCCAAAACGAATTCTTACCTTTTAACACGATCGATATATATTGAAAGTAATGATACGTTTGTGTAAAAATGCTCAAATATTTCTTCTTAATTTCTTCGAAACATTAGATTATTTATGACAGATGAAATAAAGAATCACTTATCATGACTGCTTTATATGAATGATGGTCCTGGGCATGAGTGCCTGAAATTAAAAAATTTGTAGCAATGGTGGTTCGTTTTTCTACTGTGATACAAGTGTGATATACCTGCAAGAAGTCTCCGAACAAATATTCGAAAAAATCACAAAAATTCGATAGACGAACGAATTATAATGAAAAACTTCACATATATTCAATATACGAACGAACAGATGTGGCTTTAAGTACTTGATTGGCATGCTCAGCTGGGGGTGTTACGAATGCTTTCTCTAGACAAATAAATATCAATATGTAGAACCTCTTATGCAGATATAATTGAATTTTCGAGTTAATGACACTTTCGATGAAAAATAATGACAAATAAAAATAATGTAGCTTATTCAACAGTTAAAAATTTGATTTTCACGCATAATCACTCGATATTGTGTTCAATTTTTTTTGTCCGTCATGTAACGATTCAAATTTGGTGAATTATATTTTCCATGCGACGAAAACTTCATGCTTAACTTAGACTTAGAGCATAAAGCATCCATACTCTAAACTTGAAAAAAAATTATGCACGTCCTTACAAAATAGTATGTTGATGCTGTAACAGATAACATAATTTTAAAAACCATCCAAATAATGTAATTCGCTCCTAAACGTATAACCAAATGATTTCAGGCCGTATTCAAGATATATAGACATATTCGAAATTAGTAGCTCAGCCTACTTTCGGTGAAAACTGGATTGTCGACTGGTACTGATGTAGCCCATATTTTCGAAAAAATTGTGAAATAAAATGTCGAAAAAAATTATTGTTATACTTTTGATGAAGCAAAATTCGGAGATAGAAGATCTAGTCGTCCTGTTGTAAAATGAACATTCGGAGCATAGTTAATCGCGCGTAAATGGACCTAGGAATCAGAGTCCAAGCGCTAATAAAATGCTTGCAGAAAAAAAATCTTACTGACCCACGAGTGCAACTTCATGTAGTCGCGGTA